GTGTGTGGCACTGAGAAACCAGCATAACTAAAAAGTAGAAAATAAATTTTATAAAAAAACCTTTTTTAAAAACAAGCTTTTATTTAAATACACTAAAAAGAATAAAATAAACTCTTTTTCTTTAAAACTTTTATTATGAACTTAGAACGTCATTACACAATTTTAATATTAGATATATAAAAGCTTGTCGCGAGATTTCTCTACATCGATAAACAAGTAAATTAACTAAAACCTGTGTCTACCCTGTCTCATTTTCAAAGTTTGTGTTATGATAGACCACTAGACCAGGAATTACAAGATAAAGTTGTCGTACCAGATTTTTATGAGTGCAACTGTACACTCAAATCTCGCGACAAGCTTTTATATAATATTAAAATTGTGTAATGACGTTATAAGTTCATAATAAAAGTTTTAAAGAAAAAGTTTATTTTATTCTTTTAGTGTATTTAAATAAAAACTTGTTTTAAAAAGTTTTTTATAAAAATTTTCAGAACTAATTTTGAAGAACTTTCCTTAAATGAAAATATATTATGTAAATTCGTTAAATTATTTCAGACAATTAAATTCAACCATCAATCAAAATTTTCCTATAATGTATTTTTTGTTAAAATTATACGCAAAAGTTAGAATTTATTATACCTTAAAGAATATTAATAAGAACTTAAATGTAGCAAACAAAAACCGAAAGCTCCTAATTTGGAAACATGTACCTATTTCATTTTGCTGTTATTTCTAGAAATAAATTAATTAATTTGTTTCTTAAATGTTTTTCTTTGAGAATGCATATTTATTTAAAGTCAACAATTTAAAAAACGTGTATCTAAATTATGTTCTAGCACCAGTCGAATAATTTTTTACGTCACGTGTAAAATTTTTTTGAATACATCTCTGGGCTGACTGGCGCTTACGCGGCTATTGGTTTTGGCGAGAGAGCTCGCCGCTCTAGTGTTCCCCCTCTTTTGAATCGCAAATCCGAGCGTAAAAAGATCAAAGCGGTACGCTACACTGTCCGAGCTGGTTTTTACTTAAGCTGTGCTTATACATTATGTCAATCATTATGTCATTACGTTGAATGCTGTTATTTTTGCTTTAGTTTTGTCCTAAATATTCTTGAGCTATGTTTTTAACCCAGATATAACATATATTTAAAAAATGGGTTAGGATATTACGTAAATTAAGGGGGGGGGGGGTGGCAAATAGACGCAACTAAAATTTTGTCGCCTACCCAGTCACACGGGTCACGAGCCGCCACTGCTGCGTTTGTTCAGCGAAACTAAATCAAAACATTTTGGAAACATATTTAATGTTTCCCTTTATTGTCGATTAATTTTCGAAACACGAGTTTTTTTCGAGTTTCTCCCTTTTTAAACACAAATATGATATACTGCAGATAATTTGTGTCCGACTCCATGTCAATTTTGTAATACAATGAATTAAAATTCCGCCATGTTGGCTAGTGATAGTGTTTTTAACTAAAAATATGTTTTTATCGGTTGTTGAGCTTTTAAACTCATAAGAACGCATTCTACTGACATTAATTTATATATTTTTATATTCAGAACCATGACATAGAAAATAAAAATAAAAATTATATTTCAAACCAAACCAAACAAAAATAGTTTTAGTTTTAATCCAGTAATATTACGATTTAAACCCGACAAAATTCAGAAAGTTTTGAAAATTGGTAGGTATGTTGGGGATAGCATGAGGATTGCTAAACCGAAAAGTTCCCACCCCTAAATAGTGTGCGTCATCCCCCAGGACATCTTTTCTACACCCATTTTGAGTTTTTCAGATAATCTCGGCAACCGTGCAATTCTCGACAAAAATACCTATATAGAAAATTATTCTTCATAAGATTCTCTATCAAAAATATAATTACACTTTTCTTCTAAAGTTAATAATAAAGTGGCAAATAGGGCGCAAATATAAGGGTTGGTTATGACTAGCACTATCTGCAGTTCAATCAAATTTAAAGTTTAATGTTTAACGCTAACAAAAAGCAGTAACCACTAAATTATACTTAGAATTTTAATATACGTTCTTCTCTCACACTCCTCTACCCCTATAAAAAGGGTGATTTGTACTTATTTCCACATCACCCTAGAGGTAAAGTATTTAATGCGTTTTTTTAAGTGGTTACGCCTGTAGGCCTAATCTACTAATTATCAAATGTTAACTAGTAATCTTCGTCAGCTTCCACAGGTTCAACATTCAAGCATGACTGTCCATGGCAATGATAACACATTGTTGAGCAACGCAAGCCTGCTCTTCTGCAGCTACATCTGTATTCGCACCCTAATTTGCATGAAGATGAAATGAGCGTTAAAACAGATGCGGGGCTGGCTCTTTGTTTGTCATTGCTGGAGTTAATATACCGCCAACTTTTTTCCACTCCCAGTCGGTAGGTTCGAGCATAACTCCTCTCCATGTTTGAATTTGGTGAAAAACCCGATACGAGTGTTGCCGAGCTGCAGCAGAAGTTGGTAGTCGTTTTGACAACATGACACTGTTGTTGGCTTTACCAACAAGTTTGTTGAAGTACATAAATCGGTATTCATCTAGACTGCTTTCTGCTGAGGTACAGTTGAATAAAGCTAAAATAAATTGCTCTCCTGCGTTTGCAATTTCTTCATGAGTAGATTTCTCGTTAATGAAAGTTTGCACAATATGTTGTAAATCACTTCTTTTAGCGAATACATGATTTGAAGTTGCGGATTGTAAATCTTAAGAACTGGAAATCCTTTTGCAAGTATTACCCTGTTTTTCTTTTAAAAATTTGATATCCTTGCCAGAGTGAAAATGCAATAAGAAGAACTAGCAGGTCAATATCTTGCCCTACTATAACAGTTGTATCGCAATTATTAGATTTTTCTATAACAGTTTGAATTATTAATAAATCGGCGTCATCCGCAGCAACAAATACTACTATACCTTCTTTCCTCAGTTTATTTACTAGTTCTGTGATTAAACGTTCTTTGTTAAACAAATTACTTAGGAAGTTCTGCTGAGTTTCAGAGACAACAGTATTCTCGTCAAACATAACTTGAGGACAGCTTCTTTGAAGTAGCCGCCTCTGTCGTTCTAGGCTCTTCGTGCTGTTTGCATTTTCCATATAACCACCGAACACGACAGTTACTCTATTCCCATAATGTTTTTTAATGTAACTAACGTAAGCGTTGTAAACAATGTTAAATGTCCCTTTTTTTGGCCATATTACGCGGCGAAGCAAATATCCTCTATCAATGACATACTCGCTGTTTTCAAAAATATGGTCTCGTTCTGGAACTTTATTGACAATCTGGTATAAAGCTGCTTTATTAGTTTTCCTCATTAGGCCTTTTGCATCAAAAAGAGAAAGAGGTACTGAAGCTAATTCGAAATTCAAGCACTTTTTTAACTCCAGGCTAGAATGACCGGTGCAAATAATTCTTTGAAATAGTAATGTTCAGCGAACTTGAACATCATTGCCATTAATTTTCATTGTATTGCTCAAACAAGATATCAGCTTTACACAATTTGCAAGACGCACTTTTAAACTTTTAAATAAAATCCCATCTTTAAAATTTGATAATTAGCGGATTAGGCCTACAGGGGATATACCATTTAAAAAAAACGCATCAAATACTTTACCTCTATAGGGTGATGTGGAAATAAGTACAAATTACACTGCCTTTTTATAATAGAGGAGTGTGAACGTATATTAAAATTCTAAGTATGATTTAGTGGTTACTGCTTTTTGTTAACGTTAAACATTAAACTTTAAATTAGATTGAACTGCAGATAGTGCGCTAGTAATAACCAACTTTTATATTTGCGCCCTATTTGCCACTTTATTATTTTACTACTTTAGAAAAAAAGTGTAATTATCTTTTTGATAGAGAATTTTATGAAGAACAATTTTCTATATAGGTATTTTTGTCGAGAATTGCACCGTTGCCGAGATTATCTAAAAAAACTCAAAATGAGGGTAGAAACAATGTCCTGGGGGATGACGCACACTATTTAGGGGTGGGAACTTTTCAGTGTATTAATACATATGATGTCCTGATTATTTCCACCAATTTTGAAAACTTTATGAATTTTGTCGGATATATCGCAATTTGAGCCATAATATTACTGAACTATTTGTAGCAACAAATAATGGTATATAGAAGATGCATTAAAAATATGAAAGTACATTAATAAATTAAACGATGAATTTGCTTTTGAAAGACAATTTTTGCGCAAGAAAACCTAAAAAGGTAAATAATTTTTTTGGTCTTAAGATCTTTGTTTTTAGAAAGATCTTAAGACGAAAAAAATTATGGCGGAGGTTGACATTGTTGATGGTTGCTTTCAATTTGAAATCAAAACACAGATACAGACTATTTCAGTTTAGTATTTTGTTTCTTCGCATTTAGAAATAGCGACTGCTGAAAACTGAAAACGGGAACATCTTGGACAATTACAGAAAATGTTTCGAAACATTTCCTTTAAAAATTTTGATTCCGCATCGAAAGATTTCAGAAAACGGCTAGTGTGACCACATTGGAAACATGTAATATAGCCAAATAAAATATATAGGTTTCGAAAATGATTTCTATTTGTGGCATACCGTTTTCATTTTGTGTCAAGAAACAGACACGATTATTAGAAACATTCCCTAAAATGTGTCCAAAAATGCTACTTGGTACTTGAGCTTATTTAAGAGACGCACTGTATTTATTAACGTTAAATAAAATTTATTTGATGTTATTTTAATACCCTGGTGTAGGAATGCGCCCTTTTTGATATAAGAAAAATTTCAAATCTGTGATATATCGACAATGCTATTTTTTATAACTATTCTTCATTCACATTTAATACCCTGTATTGTATATCAAATTTAGTTCATGTATCTGTAGATGTTCCGATACTGTCCAAAATAATCGATTTTTATTTTTGAAACTTAGATAGCACAACTTTTATCCATTTTAACAGTCTTAGAGCTATTAAAAAGTGGACCACCAAACACATACCTCTGTACTCTTTCAACATCTGAATGACTACCAACCGTGAAACCATCCACTTTGGTATCTTCTTCGTTCATTACCACCTAAAATATTATATTCGTCGTCAAAGTTTAATATTTAACACAAAATAGAGTTGTATACCTTGTGTTTCATTCTTTTCATCACTGTTAAAACCGTTAACCACCACATTTTTAATACCAATAGGGCGCATACAATCATATAAGTAACGAATTTTGGATTTTCCAATGACGTAACCCACGGTATATCATTTGATTGCATTTTGGATACGAAAAAAGTATCATTGTCGCTCATTTTTGTCAAATAGTTTACTACAAAATGAAAAAAATATTATCCCTCAGAATAATATTTGAGCTTAGAGATTTGACATACTGTTTAAACTATTACAGATTTAGTACTACTTCACAGTTTAACTATCTATTGAAATTATGTAGATAGAAACTAATACAAACATCCCAATAATCAATAAATCTATAATGAACACGTTTTACTCATTAAGAATGCAACGTTTTTGTCTCCATTTACTTCTCTTGACATTATTTAGTATTTTAATAAAAATTATATTTTAATATAATATTAATATAATGCTAAATCAATAGCAATTTTAATTTAAAACGCTTCCATTTATAATCAATAAATTTATTATTTCAATTAAACAACAATATATTTGCACCAGTTATTTACTTAAAAATTACATATACAACTAGTTCAGTAATATTATGGCTCAAATTGCGATATATCCGACAAAATTAATAAAGTTTTCAAAATTGGTGGAAATAATCAGGACATCATATGTTACAAAGTTCCCACCCCTAAATAGTGTGCGTCATCCCCCAGGACATTTTTTCTACCCCCATTTTGAGTTTTTTTAGATAATCTCGGCAACGGTGCAATTCTCGACAAAAATACCTATATAGAAAATTGTTCTTCATAAAATTCTCTATTGAAAAGATAATTACACTTTTTTTCTAAAGTTAATAATAAAGTGGCAAATAGGGCGCAAATATAAGGGTTGGTTATTACTAGCGCACTATCTGCAGTTCAATCTAATTTAAAGTTTAATGTTTAACGTTAACAAAAAGCAGTAACCACTAAATTATACTTAGAATTTTAATATACGTTCACACTCCTCTATTATAAAAAGGCGGTGTGATTTGTACTTATTTCCACATCACCCTAGATGTTACGGGCGAGAATTAAGGGGCTCAGTTCATTAGGGTGAGTTAATGTATCAGGACTGTGGGCACTCACCTTTATTCCCGTTCTGGACTCGTACTTGTTGATTTTTTGCTTGAACAAAACACTTGAGGATAGCGCGCGCTTGGAGGTGTACACTGTGTACTCGGCCGATCTTGTCACTCTCTCCGTACTCGACTACGGCTACGTACCCACTAAGGTTTTTCGGGTAAAGGATGGGAGGAAGGGATAGAATCCAACATACCGCCCACCAAAATGAAATATTTTCCATTTTCGTTTGAGAATAGTAAAGTAAAATAAAAAAAAGTGAAAAAATGCGTTATGTTTAAAATAAAGTAAGAGTGAAATTTGTGGAGTTAAATTTAGAGGAAATTTAGAAAAATTCATTATTGGGGTTAATGCATGAGTGTAATTTAATTAAATATTAAGAGAGTTTACATTTGTTATAGAGTAGAGAAAAGTAATTAAATAAGAGATGTGAATTATGTTTATAATGAGATTATGTTTTTTTTTGCGATTATGTTTTTTTTTGCGATTATGTTTTTTTTTAGAGAGTAAATTTTAATTATGAGATTTGCAGTAAGGCAGTGGGCATATCTTTGTCACTGGTCTTTTAAGAATGCCTTTTGCTGTTTTTAAAGTAACCACGCGTGTAACACGATCATGGCCCGGGTGAATCTCTAAGACTCTTCCAATGCTCCATTTGAGCGGAATAAGATTATCATCCTTTATTAAAACAACCGAGTTTATTTCTATTGGAATAGTAGAGTCATTCCATTTAGCTCTTTGTAAAAGTGTTTGAAGGTATTCTTTAGACCATCGGCTCCAAAAGCTTTGGTGCAAGCGTGATATCAACTGCCAGCGAGAGAGATGATTTAATTTTATCCCGGAAAGATCATCTTAAAAAATGTCCTGGAGTAAGAACTGACAAATCATTAGGATCAGAGCTTTGTGGACACAATGGACGAGAATTAAGCACTGCTTCTATTTGAACCAGTAGCGTATAAAATTCCTCATACGTGAGCAATTGGTCACCAATGACCCTTTTAATGTGAGTTTTTACAGACTTTATTCTTGCTTCCCACAGGCCACCAAAATGAGGCGCGCTTGGAGGATTGAAGTGCCAGGAAATTTGTTCTTGCTCAGCGGCGGATTTTAGCATATTAATCAGTTCTCTAGAAGCTCCGACAAAGTTCGTTCCACAATCGGAATAAATATGATTGCAGCGACCTCTACGAGAAATGAATCGACGCATTGCACCCAGAAAAGTCTCGGAGGAAAGGTCGGAAACCAGTTCTAAGTGCAAAGCTTTCGTGGCCATGCACACAAATAAGCAAATATAGGCTTTACAGGACTTAGCACCTCGTGCACGATATCTTAATAAAGAGAATGGACCACCATAGTCGCATCCAACTTCAGAGAAAGGTTTTACTTGAGAAAGTCTTACAGCAGGAATATCTCCCATAATAGGAGGCTGAGGCATTACTGGATTAGCGCGAAAGCATTGAGGACATTTAAAGAGAACACTACGAATTGTTTTTCTAGCAGAAACAATCCAGTATTGTTGAGCGAGAATATAGTGAAGAGTTTGGGGACCGGGATGCAAATAGAGTTTATGAGTATATTCTATGAGTAGAGTAGTAAATTTATGATTATTGGGTAAGAGTGCGGGATGTTTTTGAGAGAAATTTAGAGAAGCATTGCGCAAGCGACCACCAACTCTAAGAATTCCATTGGTGTCGATAAAGGGGGTCAATTTTCTTAAGTATTTAGGTAGAGATTTGCAATTATTTATTAAGAGAATTTCCCTAGCATAATATTGTGATTGAACACATTTAATAATACATTCTAGAGTTTCATTTATTTCAAATTTCGAGAGAGGAGAGGTTTTACGAGATTTAGAATGTCGAGTATTATAGAGAAAGCGTCTGCAAAACGTGACAATATTTATAATTTTAGAGAAAGAAGAGAACTTTTCAAAGAGAGTATCAAACAATGAGGGCTGTGAAGTACATGTCAATATAACTTTTCGTTGTTCTTCTTCAGTTTCAGGGGAAAGTAAAAATTGATTGCGGCCAATAAGATCCGGTTGGCTTAGCCATGGAGGTCCCGCCCACCATAAGGCATTGTCGAGTAACTCGCTAGGTTGAAGACCACGAGAACCTGGATCAGCGGGGTTGTCTTTGGAGACTACATGACGCCAACAAGAAGGAGGTAATTTCTCTTGAATTTGGGAAACTCGATTGCTCACAAAGGTGTTCCACTTATATGGTTCACTTCTAAGCCAATGTAAAACAACCATCGAGTAGGACCATATAATCGTACTAACATTAATAAGTTTATTAGTAAGAGAAGTTCTAACGAAATCAATTAACCTGGTCAGAAGTAAGGCTGCACAGAGTTCCAGTCTTGGAATTGAGATTTTTTTGAGTGGAGCTACTTTGCCTTTAGCGCAGACATAATTTGTTTTTACAGAGTTATCTGGAAGAATTATCCTGAAATAAATTACTGCACAATAGCCTTTTTCACTGGCATCACAAAAACCATGTACTTCCAGGGATAAATATTTGAGAGTGAGAAAATATCGAGTAACTTTGAGAGAGAAAATGCAAGGTAATTCTTGAACGAGTTGATACCAAGAAGTAGCAATGTTATTGGGAGCAGATCATCCCAATGTATACCTAACTTCCACAAATCTTGTATAATCAGTTTTAGGTGAAGAGTGAGAGGAACTCACATGCCACAGAATGGATCGAATATGCTTGCGAGTTGTGAAAGAATATTGCGTTTGTTACAGATTTTGTTTGTCAAGGACAACGCTGGTGAATCAAAGAAAAATTCATCTGTAGAGGGATTCCAGTTTAGTCCTAGAACTTTAGAGGAAGAAAGAGAATTTATATTTCAAGAGAGAAAGAATCCATTTGCATTCATTTGGAGTAACTGAGAAAGAAAATCTGAGCTATTCGAAGTCCATTTTCTAAGTTCAAAACCGTTGTGTTTGAGTATAGAAATGAGATCGCGTTGAATTTTTATAGCAAGAGAAAGAGAATCGCAACCAGATATAATATCATCGACATACGTATCCATATCTAAAATCTTTGATGCTTTGGGATATTTTACTAAATTTTCTAAAGCAATTTGTTTTATAACTCGAATGGCTAAAAATGGGCTACAGCTTAAACCAAAAGTAACACGAGTAAGTTTGTATTCTTGAATGGGCTCATTAGCGTTAAATCGCCATAAAAATTTGAGGTATTCAGTATGATTTTCATTAACAAGAATTTGACTAAACATTTGTTTAATATCGCTAGCAAATACAATCAAATGCGATCTAAATCGAAGTAAAATAGATAAAATATCTGACTGTAATTTTGGCCCAGTTAAGAGATTGTCATTCAAAGATTTATTTGTGTAATCTCGAGCGGAAGCATCAAAGACAACTCTAAGTTTGGTCGTGAGACTATCTGGTCGGATTACGCAATGATGAGGCAAATAATAAGAATAAGCGTTGGGAGAAGGATTTTGCACGGCAATCATACACCCGGATCAATGAGTGTATCGTATGATTTGAGGTATAGCATATCTTGTGATAAAACAGAGCCACATTCCAGTTCAAAATTAGTTTGCAAAATTTCTGGAAGTCTATCATAAATCATATTAAATAGCACAAAACTCCAGCTCTCTGTGGGAAAACCCAAGTTATTTAAAATTGTAATATTACGAGTATAAATATCAATCATATTTCTTAGAGCTTCATGATTATTTTCGTTAGAGATGGGCTTAATATTTTCTAGAACCTGCCAGTGAGCTTTTGCAATCAAACGTTTCTTATCGTACTTATTTTTTAAGGCTTGATATGCTATATTATAATTTTGATTGGCAAGTGGAGTACTAGATACCAAAGCTAAAGGAGGACCTCGTAAGAAACTCACTAGATAGTTGTATTTCGATATATCACTAAGAGACGAGTTACAGTGTATAAGAGAATCAAACATATCGATGAATGTTTGCCAATGTTTAAATTCACCATCAAAATGGGGTACCTCAATTTTAGGAAGTTTTACCGAACATTGAGCAGTAGTGTTTTGTAATTGTGTAGTATCCAGCTCCGATTTCGTTTGCGGAAATAAATTTGTGAATAATGCTTCAATGTGAAAATAATAATCATTAAATTCAGTTTGAATTTTGACATGAGGATCAATATCGCCATTATCCTGTGCGGAAACTAATAAAATTATATTATTATGAATCTTATCAAAAGTTTTATAAATATCTTCTAAGTGTTTTGCTCTACATCTAAAGTTAGGGTGAAAATTTGGATCTTCAAGAGCTTGATCAGCGGATTTTTTAAGTTCTTTAATTTTAGTAAGTTCTACAGAGCGTTGAGTTTTTAATTTGCGAGCGTCTGCAGACATAGCGAAAATTAGTATAATAATTAATTAGAGCGTAAGAGAGAAATGGAATGCTATAATGTGAGAAAATAAAATATAATAGAATATAATAATTAACTGAGAGAGAGAGAGAGAATGATATATTCTACAATAGAATATTATATGAGAAAATAATTATTATATTTTCACCTTATAAGGTGAGAAAATAAAATATTATAGAATATAATAATTAACTGAGAGAGAGAGAGAGAGAGAGAGAATGATATATTCTACAATAGAATATTATATGAGAAAATAATTATTATATTTTTACCTTATAAGGTGAGAAAATAAAATATTATAGAATATAATAATTAACTGAGAGAGAGAGAGAGAGAGAGAGAGAGAGAGAGAGAGAATGATATATTCTACAATAGAATATTATATGAGAAAATAATTATTATATTTTCACCTTACAAGGTGAGAAAATAAAATATTATAGAATATAATAATTAACTGAGAGAGAGAGAGAGAGAGAATGATATATTCTACAATAGAATATTATATGAGAAAATAATTATTATATTTTTACACCTTATAAAGGTGAGAAAATAAAATATTATAGAATATAATAATTAACTGAGAGAGAGAGAGAGAGAGAGAGAGAGAGAGTAATTAATTAAGAGAATAAGAGAGAAATAGAATAATTAACTGAGAGAGTGTATGTGCGTGTGTATGAGTGAGAGAGAGAGAGAGTAATTAACTAAGAGAGTAAGAGAGAAATAGAATAATTCACTGAGAGAGTGTATGTGTGTGTGTGTGTGAGAGAGAGAGAGAGAGAAAATAATTATTATTTTTACTAAGGTATTCGTATTAATTGAGTGTATTTATTAATTAAAAATTAAATTATTAAGAGAGAGAACAGACTAGAGTTGAGACTAAATGCGTATCGATAAATTTGAGCGTAAAAAAGAAATATCCGGACCAGTATCGCGAAACAGCGCTAGATATCGCTTAACACCGGTACGGCAATTTAAAAAAATCGATCGGCCGGTCGCAAATTGCTGGTCAGTGGAACCAGTGACAAAAATGTACTACCTTTTTTGCTGCGTTAAAGAGAAGATAAATATAGATTTTGTTCGAGAATTTATTTTATTGAATATATTTAAAATAATATATTACAAAAATATTAATGATATTTAGATAATTTTGAGAAATTAATTATGATAATCAATTTAATTGAGTATAAGTAAAATATGTACGTAGTTCAGAAAGGGATCCGGCTCGAAGGACCAATGTTACGGGCGAGAATTAAGGGGCTCAGTTCATTAGGGTGAGTTAATGTATCAGGACTGTGGGCACTCACCTTTATTCCCGTTCTGGACTCGTACTTGTTGATTTTTTGCTTGAACAAAACACTTGAGGATAGCGCGCGCTTGGAGGTGTACACTGTGTACTCGGCCGATCTTGTCACTCTCTCCGTACTCGACTACGGCTACGTACCCACTAAGGTTTTTCGGGTAAAGGATGGGGGAAGGAATCCAACACTAGAGGTAAAGTATTTGATGCGTTTTTTTAAAGTGGTATATCCCCTGTAGGCCTAATCCACTAATTATCAAATGTTAAAAATGGGATTTTATTTAAAAGTTTAAAAGTGCGTCGTGCAAATTGTGTAAAGCTGATATCTTGTTTGAGCAATACAATGAAAATTAATGGCAATGATGTTCAAGTTGGCTGAACATTACTATTTCAAAGAATTATTTGCACCGTTCATTCTAGCCTGGAGTTAAAAAAGTGCTTTAATTTCGAATTAGCTTCAGTACCTCTTTCTCTTTTCGATGCAAAAGGCCTAATGAGGAAAACTAATAAAGCAGCTTTATACCAGATTGTCAATAAAGTTCCAGAACGAGACCATATTTTTGAAAACAGCGAGTATGTCATTGATAGAGGATATTTGCTTCGCCGCGTAATATGGCCAAAAAAAGGGACATTTAACATTGTTTACAACGCTTACGTTAGTTACATTAAAAAACATTATGGGAATAGAGTAACTGTCGTGTTCGATGGTTATATGGAAAATGCAAACAGCACGAAGAGCCTAGAACGACAGAGGCGGCTACTTCAAAGAAGCTGTCCTCAAATTATGTTTGACGAGAATACTGTTGTCTCTGAAACTCACCAGAACTTCCTAAGTAATTTGTTTAACAAAGAATGTTTAATCACAGAACTAGTAAACAAATTGAGGAAAGAAGGTATAGAAGTATTTGTTGCTGCGGATGACGCCGATTTATTAATAATTCAAACTGTTATAGAAAAATCTAATACTTGCGATACAACTGATATAGTAGGGCAAGATATTGACCTGCTAGTTCTTCTTATTGCATTTTCACTCTGACAAAGATATCAAATTTTTAAAAGAAAACCAGGGTAATACTTGCAAAAGGATTTACAGTTCTTAAGATTTACAATCCGCAACTTCAAATCATGTATTCGCTAAAAGAAGTGATTTACAACATATTGTGCAAACTTTCATTAATGAGAAATCTACTCATGAAGAAATTGCAAACGTAGGTGAGCAATTTATTTTAGCTTTATACAACTGTACCTCAGCAGAAAGCAGTCCAGATGAATACTGATTTATGTACTTCAACAAACTTGTTGGTAAAGCCAACAACAGTGTCATGTTGTCAAAACGACTACCAACTTCTGCTGCAGCTCGGCAACACTCGTATCGGGTTTTTCACCAAATTCAAATATGGAGAATGGAGAGGAGTTATGCTCGAACCTACCGACTGGGAGTGGAAAAAAGTTGGTGGTATATTAACTCCACCAATGACAAACAAAGAGCCAGCCCCGCATCTGTTTTAACGCTCATTTCATGTTCATGCAAATTAGGGTGCGAATACAGATGTAGCTGCAGAAGAGCAGGCTTGCGTTGCTCAACAATGTGTTATCATTGCCATGGACAGTCATGCTTGAATGTTGAACCTGTGGAAGCTGACGAAAATTACTAGTTAACATTTGATAATTAGTGGATTAGGCCTACAGGCGAAACCACTTTAAAAAAAACGCATTAAATACTTTACCTCTAGGATGATGTGGAAATAAGTACAAATAACCCTTTTCATAGGGGTAGAGGAGTGTGAGAGAAGAACGTATATTAAAATTCTAAGTATAATTTAGTGGTTACTGCTTTTTGTTAGCGTTAAACATTAAACTTTAAATTAGATTAAACTGCAGATAGTGCTAGTCATAACCAACTCTTATATTTGCGCCCTATTTGCCACTTTATTATTAACTTTAGAAGAAAAGTGTAATTACATTTTTGATAGAGAATCTTATGAAGAATAATTTTCTATATAGGTATTTTTGTCGAGAATTGCACCGTTGCCGAGATTATCTAAAAAACTCAAAATGGGTGCAGAAAAGATGTCCTGGGGGATGACGCACACCATTTAGGGGTGGGAACTTTTCGGTTTAGCAATCCTCATGCTATCCCCAACATACCTACCAATTTTCAAAACTTTCTGAATTGTGTCGGGTTTAAATCGTAATATTACTGGATTAAACTTAATCAGAGCTGCAAGCTCACAGAAACACTTCGTCTTTTTTTGACTTAAATCATTTTAATGACTTAAGTCATTTGATTTTAAGTCATATTTCGAAAGCTGACTTAAGACTTACAATTTAAGTCATTTTTAAAATGAGATAAGTCTTTTAAAAGAATTAACTCATTTTAGAAAAGATTTAAGTCATTAAAAAAGATTTAAATCTTTTTTTAAAGTGTGTACACCCATTCCCACGTATTGCGGCGTGGGAATGGGTGTACACATTTGGCAACACGTGTTAACACCAGAGTTGTTAAACTACACGTAGTAATTAATAAACTACATTTACTACATGTCACAAGTAGTTTTTTAAATGTCGAGTAGTAAATGTGTAGTCTATGTAACTAATGTAGTTTTTTTAAATAACAGTGAAAACATAACCTAAAAACTTTGTTTGTTGATCAATTTAAAGAAATAAAAAATCTATATTTTGTTCTTTATTATGTGATATTTTTGATACTTAGTAGTTAAAAATGGTTGGAAGACGTCGATGTCTCCATACCTTGCTCCATACCTTCTGGAAAGAGGGGAATTATGAAGTTGTGCCTTTAGATGTAAAAAATCGTATATTCTCCTGGACAATGTCTATGGAGAATTTCTCCATAAGAATTTATAATTTATTTTGTGTTCAATGTTACTTTGTATATAATAGAAAATACACTTTTGTTGAAAAAAAATGTCTTTTTTTCTGATGTTGTTTAACTTATACAAATATAATATAACTTCATACTTCCATGATAAGAATTTGGCTTGATTTTTGTTTAAAGTCTAAATTGTTTATGTTTTACTATATTTTTGTAGGTAGTTTTTAACGTAGTTTTTGTGTAGTTTTTGAAGGTAGTTTTTAAAATCTTAAAACGTAGTTAATACAAAAAACTACACGTAGTTTTTGGCGTAGTTTTTTGCTTCATAAACTACTTAACAACCCTGGTTAACACGCCTGAAATTTTTATTAGAGTTAAAAAAGTTGTCAGTAGGGATACGAAAATACTAGAAGTATCGATACCCATACCGATATTAGACAGTTAAAGCACGGCCAAAGACGTAGACGTAAACGTATCGTTTGACATGTACGCTTGCGCAGTGAGACATTCACTTGCTTTTACGGATACGTGATACGTATCTTTACGTGCCTTTACGTAGGTACAAAACGCAAACGTATCGCGCCCAAGGAGTTTCAAAATCAAAATCATTTATTTAGACTGCACTTATAACAGAATAATATTCCCATGACAACAGTACAGTAAATACAAATTAAAAAATACAAAAATAAATATACAATAAAAAAGAAGAACTCTAACACATTAATATTAATAAAATAGTTGAGGATTATCTTTTTTTTCTTATCACAGATAAAGTCAAAATCAGGGTGATCTAGGGCAAACTTATTCACCGCCTCTAGGCACCTGTTTAATGGTGAACTAACCAACGAGATCTTAAAAATTACATGCCTTTTTCTTAGTCTACAATCAGGTACTACATAATAAATCTTTCCAAGTAGATCCGGCACAGGAACACATTGATGAATAATACTAAATACAAACGATACATCACTGAACTGCCTCCTTTCCTTTAAGAATGTTATGCTAAATTCTGCTAGTTGAGATTCGTATGATACAAGATTGCGAAAGCCGGGGTAGAACCCGTGTTTTTGCAGAAATAGGCTTCTCAGGATTTTTTTCTGAACCTTCTCTATCATATATGAGTAGGTAAAAGTGGTTGAATTCCAAATAATAGAGGCATATTCTAGTTTAGACCTAACAAATGAGTTAAATAGCAATATTCTGGTCTTAATATCGCTGAATTCACTGCTGCAGCGCAAGACAAACCCCAGCTTTCTCATTCCCTCAGAATACAATTCTGAGGTTATTTCTTCCAGCAGTTTGAGTTCACAATTGTCAACCGAATATTTTGACAAAATTGGTGATCCACTACGACAGAATGTTACATATTTGCATTTAGCTATATTTAATTTAAGGTCATTTTGTTGACAAATTTCAAGTATTTATATACTAGCTGAGTTCGGCATTGTACTCTGAGAAATCTAGATAAACAAAGAACAATAAATATAAAGTATTCCAGGGGAAAAGAGAGGAAAAACCTGTATCGTCTCTGATATCTGTCAGGGTGTTGTTGAAAATGTCATCTTTTTGCTCGAAGTTTTCACGTCGATCAAAAAGATGACATTTACAACAATACTTTGCCGTAACTTTGACAAATATCAGAGAGAGGACAGGTTTTTCCTCTCTTTTCCTCTGGGATGCTTTATATCTGTTGTTCTTTGTTTATCTAGATTTCTCAGAGCATAATGCCGAACACGCCTACTGTACTAATTGTAATAAAAATCGATATATATATATATATATATATATATATATATATATATATATATATATATTATATATATATATATATCTATATATATATATATATATATATATATATATATATATATATATATATATATATATATATATATATATATATATATATATATATATATATATATATAAAAAAAATGAAAATTGAATATCGACCGTACTGTTTTAAAGGATTGTTTGGATTATTTTCAGGTTGGCGGTCAGTGACTCAAAAACTTATTTGTTTATGTCTCAATATTTCGTAAATCTTTATTTACTTCATCAGGAGATATACTACAAAGTCAAAAATTCTAACATAAGAAAGGAGCAATTAAAATACACAAAAATTATACTTACAAAACTAAAAGTCAGTCGTATCTTACAATATACACATTCATTACACCAATAATATACTTTCAGTTATAAAATTTTTCGGACAAAACAGACCTACACTGCATGGTGTTTAAGTCACAATGAAACTGACAAAAAAAACCATCAACAATTAGACAAAACTAACAAACAGTAAGATAAAATTGTTATAAATTTGGACAAAACAAATAGAAAGAAAGAGGATATCAGTTCATTACTAGTTTTAGTTTAATGTTTTAACAAATTGCAATATATTGTATTTAACTGGTTTGTGTCGGACTTAAAATTAATAGATTCTTTATTTTTATTTATAAAACACATTTCCATGAATAAACGGCTTTTATAATTTGATTCCTGTTTTAGAACCTTTACTTTATCTATAGTGAACGTGTGTCCCGTTTCCAAATGATGGTCCACCAATGCACATCTCTTTTTATGTGTACGACAGTCACTTTTATGCAATGATAGTCTCTGTTTAAGCCACTGACTAGTTTGTCCTATGTATGTTTTTTGGCAACCGTCACATGGTATCTCATATATTACATCAGACTTGAAAAGTGTTGGGGTTTTGTCTTTGATTTGGCTGTATAGATGGGATATTTTAAGTGTGTTATATTTTACCATTTTTATATGCGGAAAATCCCTGAAACTTGATATGATGTTGTTAGTGAGTCCTTTTACCAGTGGAATTAGAATATATATATATATATATATATATATATATATATATATATATATATATATATATATATATATATATATATATATATATATATATATATATATATATATATATAGCAGAGCATATATATATATATATATATATATATATATATATATATATATATATATATATATATATATATATATATATATATATATATATATATATATACCGCATGATCGAATAAAAGAAAGAAACATATTTTTTCTTTATCGTTTTTCAAATAAGTCTAAAATAACGGAGTTATTTTACTTTGAAATTATACAAAAAAAATTGCTAAAATTTTGAGAACTACTGGATCTTTTCTGGATTTTCTTTCTTGTAAATTTAATCTTATACCTATGTTGTCATATTAACAAGAAATTATATTTTTTAACAAAAAAAAATTTTTGAAAAATTCTTTGGGAAGTTTTCATTTTTTTTTCGCGAAAAAAACCTCATAGGCGTGTTTCTGGGGTTGAACTATACTACCAGTTAAAATACTTGCACTTATTTCTGGGACACCCTGTATATTACAGTCAGTATGTCCCCCATAGACTTAAAATAAAATATAGACTGAGCATCTCATTCATAATTAGCTGGAACATGCGGTCAGACAATGTCTTGTTATTGTTGTGTTATT